TAACTGTTTCGATGAATTCAACTCTTTGAATTTTTAAAATAATTTATACTGTTGGAAATATATTTATTACTATAATTATTTTTATGATTTCAATTAATCATTTCAGCTCCTTATACTATGTTAGCTGTTATTATCATGATTTCAGATATTTGTGTTATTTTAACTAATTGTATTGTTTCATCTATCTGTCCTACTTAAGTTAAATGCGCTATTCCAACTGGCCCGACATGATCAGATAGTTAGAGCGTTTTATTTGTAATCTGAGGGTCGCGGGTTTGAATCCCTGTCCCACCAAACATGCTAGCCTTTTCAGCCGTGGGCGACGTTATAATGTGACGGTTAATCCCACTATTTCGTTAGTAAAAAAGTAGCCCAAGAGTTGACGGTGATGACTAGCTGCCTTCTCTCTAGTCTTACACTGCTAAATTAAGAATGGCTAGAGCAGATAGCCCGCGTGTAGCTTTGCGCGAAATTCAAACCAAACAATTCGAACTATTTGTGTTGTATCCCAACCAGCCTCATGAGTTATATATAGTATTGAGCTGATAACCTCGTTTGTAGTGATCTACAATTGATTTAGGTTTGAATTATTTGTATTATTCTGTTCACTTTTTATGATTCCATTACATTGTTTCATCTACTTATATACTATGAGCTATGTATGAGTTATTATTATTTCAGCTATTTTTTAATGTTTCAACGAACTGAAATTTTGCATATATTTCTATCGTTATGGTGTGAATGCTTTTTACTATCCCATAAAACATGATTATAATTATACTTGCCACAATACTAATTTAATAATTCGCTGAACGAAGATCCCCAATGGGTAATTATAATGTGCTGGCGAATATAAAATAAAATAATCAAAACACTGACTCGATGAAGGAGAGTTTAATATACATATATACTTTTTTCTGGGTGATGTTAATTTGTGAGATGTATGTGATCGTCTACGTGTGTATACACAAAAGATGAAAAATTAACTTGGAAATTATTTGTTATTTAGAATTATCTGTTGTCTGACTGAATAGTGGAGGTTTGAATGTGATTAAAAACGTAGTGTTTAAATGTGTAATAGGTCTAGTACTAATATCTTGTGGCAAGTACAATCTACTTGTATTGTTTTAATTCGCTTTGTTTTAGTTGAATGCACTGTTTCAACTATTTATGTTTAAATTAACTTTATGTATTGTAGCCCAGCGTTATAATGTGGCGGTCAATTTATTCGTTGGTAAAAGAGTAGCCCAAGAGTTGGCGGTGGGTGGTGATG